TAAAATGAGAATTTAACTACCAAGGGTAAAATAGTAATTATAGTAAAATTTTGAATTGAAAAGATTTTGAATTAAAAATTTCAAAATAACCCACCAGCGTTGTGGGTAGGGCTGCTTCAGTTTGTGATCTGGAATCTTAATTGTCAATTTGAATACTGAATCGAAACCCTTTGCAAAATGCTTTGGGAAATAAGGTTGAATACCGAAACTGAATCAAAATTTAGTATTTTTGAAATTCAATAATACTGAAATTATTTTTATTTGTTGGTTCGGGATCAGGAATGCATTCTAAAACTTAATTAAGAAAATGATCTGAAACTAATTAAGAAATTAGCAAAGTATCTGCACTTGCTAGCCATGACAACGAGCCTACTGGTCCTAAACCCATCACATAAAACTAGGATGAGCTCCTTAAACCCAAGAGGCAAGATCGTCATCAGTCACAGGCATTCGCTTCAAGCATAGCTTCACGAGACACAAATACGCCTTGGCCATGGAGAACACCCATGGCGCCATGGACTGACAGATGTGAAGAATAAGGGAGGAGGAGAGCTTCAGAGACGAAGAATTAGGGAGGAGTAAAGGTCTAAAATCAGGTAGGTGGAAGAGTCCAGAGAACAGAGAGAGGAAATGAATGAGGCGAGGTCGAGAGACAAAGACGTTGATTTTGCATCAATGGTTGATGACACGCTCCAATCAACCTATCTCTTAAACACCAGGATGGGCACATGCTGGCCGACACATGAGGGTAACGAAGCCATTTTAACATGCATGCATATTAAAAAGAAAGAACGAACATAAATAAAATATGTAAATTTAAATATAATGGAAAATGCAAATACGGGAATGTGTTCAGAGTATACAACTAATAAAAAAAAGTGCAGAAGGAATATTATGAAATAAATGAGATTACAAAGAAAGTAGGTCCCACATCAAGAGGACTCGAACATACTGATACGAGAGTGCCTCGATGTGGGGATTGTACACCTCAATTCTAAATCTTGAAGGGGGCGCAAAACAAAGCGTGAGTGGACCAATTTAATATAAATAATAATAGTAATAAGAAAACCAATTTTCTTTCGAACATACTAACCCCCTTATTTTGAAAACACATATAATACTACATAATAGGTTTTTCTATAAACTCTAATGTGCCAAAATGTTCATAGACAATAAAACCATATCTAAAAGTGGTATCGAAAACGCCCGAAGGCAAATCCAAAGGATCTCGTAAATCAAAACAATGATGTACTCAACTACAGGTATCATAGTCACCCGAAGGCATATCTATCACCCGAGGGTGAAGCTATACGACACTTGGTTACGCCAATGAAGAAATATGGTAAGCTCCATCACCCGAAGGTGAAGCTATACAACTCTAGGTTACGCTAGAGAAGAAAAGGTACATAACACACCAACATTAGCCATGACTAGTGAAGCTATCTGACACTGGTTTCACCAGTGAAGCTGGGAGTATGTCATAAATATCTCACTACTCATCAACTGTGTCATATGACCATAGACATATACATACTCATGTTGTGTGTATGTGTTGTATGAATACCCATTAATTAAGCACACAAAACGTAATTTAAAATCTCATACCAAGCTTAGAATTCAAAACCTCAACATCCGAAATCATAAGCAATTCCATAAACATGATTTCCATGAACATAAATTTCATAAACTTTAAACTAGTAAATCGTAAATCTTTCATAAAACAAATAAGATGAATCATAAATTCTTTATAAATCATAAATCTCGAAATCTGTGAAATGTATCATAAAACGTAATTAATTCATGAAATGTAGAATGAATGCAAACCTAATATTTTATGAAAAAAATATGCAATTGAGAAGGGGTCCACTCACAGATACTCTGTCGCCAACGAGCAATTCAAACTAGAGAAGAAAGGTCGCCACCAACAAACGCACCTAAGCACATCAAAGGACGAATTAGTGAAACATTAATAAGATCATTGAATTTGAGAAAACTAACATCGAATTCGGATTCGGGATGCCAAAAACCCTAAAGAGGAACCTTAGGTTCCCTAATGTGCTGCCGCATGTGCCGCCACGTGCTGTCACAAGACAACGGCCCAAGAAGGCATGCACCACCGCACTCGCCGAGTTGAGTCACCGGAAAGTCAGTCAAAAAAGTCATCAACGCCGCCATCCTCCGATGGAGGCGCTTGTGCTCCACGCGCCAAGCACTGGAGCACCACGCACCCGAGTATACGCTGCTCGCCTTCTTCACGATTCTGGAAATTTTTCCTCCAACTTCAAGAGCTCGATACAAGTCCAAATCAAGTGATTAAAGATCCTACATAAAGCTAGAAATGTGGAGAAGAGATCTATACCCTTTCAAGATCCAACAGAGGTCAAAGCTGGCTGGAAAAGTAACTTGAAAGTGGCCAAATGGCCACGATTTGAGTTTTTCTAGAAATTGCACAATAACTTCCCTAGTGCTTTCCGTATTCCTAGATCACCAAAACCACCCAAAAAATTACTAATAGTAAACCTAGACACGATCTACAATGATATGGACCAAGTTCAAGGCTTACCTTCATCGAAAACGACGAGAATTTGCTAGAGAAATTCTTGCACAGTAACCGCATTGTGCAATGTAGGGAGGGGACTTTCAAGGGTTTTTCCTCTTATTTCCTCGTTCAAGGACTAACAGGGAGTACAAGGGACGGTGGTGGTGCTGTCTTGTTGTTGTTTTAGGTGTGTGGGTGTGTGTGTGCAACGACAAAGGAGGGAAAGAAGAGTAAGAGAGATGAGCGAGGGAGAGAAGAAAATGAAATTAGAAGAGTTTTGCTCCTAGGGGCATTTTGGTAAAATCACTCCTTTAAAATTATAAGAACCGTAAAATTAGGAACGGGTTGTTATAGTTGAGATTAAATCTCAACCAATTCGACAGTTGTAATAATTTAGAATCTTATATATTATAGGCCTTTTAGCCAAAATAGTCTTTGAGATTTGTATAACACATCACTTTGGTCCCTGAGGTTGCAAATTAATAGAAATGGTCCATGAGATTGTCCACCATCCATTCTTTTGGTCCTTTCATTAAAAACTTTGTTAAGTGTCCCGAAGCTCTTGGCCGGAAGTTTGGGCAATTTTCAAAGCTTCGTAACTCAATCGTTTCTTAACCAAATTCAACCCATAATATATCAAAATGAAGATAGAAAAGTGTAGAATAAGATTATACCTATTTGGAAGCCCAATGGTTGCCAAAGATGGCCGGAAAATAGCCTGAAAGGTGACCGGTCCGGAAAACTGGAAAACTCGCCAGAAACTGGGTAAACTTTAAACATTCAAAAACGAAAATCATACTTCTCAACAAGACAAAGATAATGATACCTTTCTTGATGGCTAACTCACCATGTTTTGACCGGAAAACGACTCAAAAGTGGCTAACTCAATGACCAAGATAGCCACTTTCGAGCCGTTTTTTGGCCAAACCACAGCGCTTTAGCCTTTGAGAAAGGTACCATTCTCTTCTTCTCGTCGAGAAATTCTCGTCGAGAAGTATGATTTTTGTTTTTGAATCACTCGATTTCGTTGAGTATTGAAGAAGTTGTGAATGTTTAAAGTTTACCCAGTTTCCAGCGAGTTTTCTAGTTTTCCTGCGGACCAGTCACATTTCAGGCTATTTTTCGGCCATCTCCTGAAACCATTGGGCTTACAAATGTCATAATCTTGTTCTACACTTTCCTATCTTCATTTTAATATATTATGGGCCAAATTTGGTTAAAAAACGATTGAGTTACAAAGCTTTGAAAATTGCCCAAACTTCCGACCAATAGCTCCGGAACACTTAACGGAGTTTTTAATGGAATGAACAAAATAATGGATGGTGGACAATCTCAGGGACCATTTCTATTGATTTTCAATCTCAGGGACCAAAGTGATGTGTTATGCAAATCTCAATGACCATTTTGGATAAAAATCTTATATTATATTACATATTTAAATTAAATTATATACATATATAATATTTGGTTCAGTTTGATCCTACCAAAATAACCAAAATTTCATACTGATTCTCGTACCAAATGTTTCCGTTATGGTTCGGTTTCAGGTTTCGAATGTTTCGGTTTTTTCGGTTCTGGTTCGATTTCAGTTTTCTTGGGTTTTTTTTCCACCTCTAGTTGTGTGTGGTTTGCTTCTTTTAACTCTTAAAAAAATTTAATTCGTTTAAATTAAACAAATTATAAAATCAATTTTAAAAAAAATAATAAAATATATTAAATTACAAGGGAATCAATTACCACTCGCGCAAGCAGGTGCAAGAGACAAGTATATGTAAAACGAACAACTATTTTGCAAAACCTTAACAACATGCCCTCAGCTTCTCTAATCCCATGTGAAAGTCCCTAGCCATTTCCTTAGTAACATTTTGAAGTTTACAAAAATGTACTTTGGCAATACAGAACGCCCAAACACTCCTAAGATAAAGAAAGTTAAGGTTTCACAATACAATTAATTGAGAATATGAATAGTGACCCAATCACTATAAGCACATGGAATGTCCCTTGTCTCCCCAAAATGGGATTCACTCTTTCAACATGATCCCTTATGTATGGCAATTTACGTGTGGTGTCTTTTCAAGTCTAACATATGAACAATACAAACGGAATGATGCGAAACACATGTGATCATTGAGCTTCACGTACGGGACAACTTGCTCAAATATCATGAAAAAAAATAAATTTTATCATAAAATCAATTAACAATATAGGAAATAATTCAATTACTTATAATTTATAATATTATTTGATACGTATATCCAATCCACTGAAAATCTTCTTGGTGTAATAAAAAATTTGGAAAACAGATACGGAGATAGAAGTGATAGATTGTACAACTTTTGCCACAGGTTTTGAATAATAACTTCAGTAGTGGTCAGTACTGAAAAATATTCAATCCAGCCTTCCGACACCACAGTAATTTACCGGCTTTAACCTCCCACTTTTAATATGTTGCGATCAGTACTGAAAAATAAAAGTTCATTGGGAAATTGATTAAAATAAAAGTTCATGGGAAAACTGGCAGCCTCTTTACAAGTTCCAGGAGGAGGAGGCAATCAGCAAATACAGCGATTTCCAAAAAAAGAAGTCTGTCAATCTGGATCACACATTCCAATATGAATCCATGTAAACAAACTGTCTATATCGAAGTCCAACATTAACATATCAGACGGTTTAACATGAGCACATTCCCCTCGTGTACATGTATACAACAATGGATGTAAATTATCACCTGACGAACTGTGTCCCGAAGGTGAAACTGGATTGAGATATGGGGAAGAAAACTGATGTTTTCAACACAACTTAGGTGAATAACAATACAAAAAACATCGCTTAGGAAGCTCCATGTGATATCCGGCCTGTGATACTTGACAACTTAAATAGATAAGATCATATGTAAGTCACGAGAAAAGAGCAGAGTTGATCGAACCCGAGATTGAAGAGATTTGTACGATGTAGCAATTGGTAACAGAGGGCCAAACTGTCATAAAGAATTGGCACAGGAGTTGTTCTTGTCCTTCCAGACATTGTGTGGAACATTTGAATGTAAACAGCCCTTTCTAAGACAGGTAGTCCTGCTTTGAGCTTTCATTGACTACAATTCGTCATGCCCCATGCTTCCGCTGCCTGTCAAAAGAAAGACGCAGCATGCACTTATGAGACACTTGAGGTTGGTAATAAATAAGAGAAACTTTTCTTTTTTACTTCAGAACTCAGTTCAGAATTTTTTTTAGCATGGTGAAACAACACTTTCGAGTTTGTGCTCGAGTTGTTAGATCATTGTCTTCTATGGAAAAATGTTTGTAGGTATGCTGAAATCCAAAACTACCATCAAAATGGAGAAAGATTTTACCTGGAGACTTTTCTTTGAAGAAAAATGAGATCTCTCGTTGAGCTGATTGAAGAGAATCCGACCCATGAACACAGTTTCTTTGTAAATCCTTCCCGCACATTGCTCTTATGCTGGGGAAAAAAAAAGGAACTAATCAGGACATCCAGCACGGAAATGGATACACGGTGAAGTTGTACTATGAAATTTAAGAAAGAGTTAACAAGTATAAAGACGATTAAACAATAACATAAATACCTGTTGGGATGAGTAATCTTTGCTTTACTTGCATCAGTTGGGCCAATTAAAGTGCGCCAATCTGCAACAGCGTTTTCCTTCTCCAAAACCATAATCAATACTGGTCCACTGATAAAGTATTGAGTGGGAGGAGGAGAGAGAAGACAACATCGTAATGCAGCAACAACAAAATATCACAGAAACTACCCCAAAATAAGCAGTGAATTGAAAGTTTATTCAAGGAAGAACACCACACTCATAATATTTCGGTCTTCTGATTAAAAAAAAGGTCGTACCCAGTGCACAAGGCTCCCGCTTTACGCAGGGTCTGGGAGAGGTGAATGTCGGCTAGCCTTACCCCCATTTATGGAGAGGCTGCTCCCAAGTCTCGAACCCGAGACCTACTGCTCATGGGCGAAGGCACTTGCCATCGCACCAAGTGCGACCTCTTGGTCTTCTGATTAAAACAAGGAAATATTTGCTAGAACAGAACTATGTTGTATTGCAAAAGCTCTAGAATAGGAGGGGTAGGCCTTGCAATAAAGACTTCTCATAATTGAAAACTTGGGAAGAACCTCAACATCCCACAAAACTAGCTCTAATAAGCTTCCGATCATTCTCGTATGTATAAATAGCTCATGTGTGAGATGAATTCAGATTGCCATGGTAAGGCACTGAGTGAACAATGATGCCTTCTTTCGATCAGTTATTACGAAGTGAATAAGTTGCATATCTATGCTTATACATAAGTTAAGCAATTTTGTTTGCTACTGTTCATTGGCATGTGTTCACGGGCAATGAATGCGTATATGTGTGTTTCGAGTAGATGCCAGCAAAAACAAGAAAGATACATGTAAATTACTATCATAGAATAAGAAAGATGTGAAAGCGAGACGGAAACATAAACAAAGCAAAACCATCAAAGACGTTTAAGTCAATCAGCTATGCATCACAAGAAACAACTGATATGAAGCTTGCGAAGATTAAACATCCAAACATATTGATCTAGCAATTAGCCAAGAAAACTAAGAATAATTTCCATGAGTTCAACAGATACCTTGTCATGTACCTGACTAGGTCAGAAAAGAAGCTCCTCGAAGAATGCTCGGCATAGAAGCTCATTGCAGCGTCCTCGTCGAGTTGGACGAGCCTTTCGTTGAGGATTCTAAACCCAGAATCCGAAATAGCATTCTTTATCTTATCAGTGTAGTTATCATACAACCCATCTGGCTTTATTATTGCTAATGTCATCTCCTTCTCTGCAGTTGCATCAGACCTACACTTTTACAAAACATTAAATCAAAGACCCGTTAGGAAATACTACTCAAATACATATAGCAAGCAGTTCTGCTCACGAGCGTTTTTGCTATAAGTGCTTTTATTAGAAGCATGTCGAAATTTGTATAGAAAACTGAAGTGCTTCCTGGAAAAGCACTTTCAGTGTAATCTCAGCCTCCAAACATGGCGTTATTAGTAATCAAAACGGAAAGTTGAAAACTTTAGATTCGGGGTTACCTGCAAGGGAGAGACAGAGAGACCACAAAGCCGATCAAGAGAAAGTTAGAGACGATCGAAACCACTCTGGGGAGCATCTTGTGATCGAAACCAGCAGTGGATTCACTGTAATAGCAATCGAATTAGTTGCTGCACAATGACATAATAAACAGAATCAGATAATCGGCTGTTTGGTTGCCGAGAAAAAAAGTCAGTGAAGATTGATGCTTTTCGATCTCAGAGGGAGAGAGATTTAATTTTCTCGGCATCCAAACAGAAGGTCGGTATGGACTAGAAAGAAAAGGAAAAGGGTGGGGTGGGGTGGGGGCGGGAAAGGGAAAAAAAGGGACAAACCAGAAAATTGGGAGGCTTGGAGTTTGGGCTGGCAAATGACAACTGTCGAAACACCGTAAACTCCGAACCGGACTTGAAATTATTTGACTCCCAATTACCTTCTCGCTGAGTTCATATTTTGACTTATATAGACGATGATTTTAAAATTAAATTATTATGACGTATACATTTTGAAACCTAGCTCAAATCATCTGTCTTTAATATAAATATATCATTATAGTATAAAAAAAATACACGAGTGATTTTTTGTATTTCAACTTTCATCATCATGGAAATCAGGCAATTATCGCAACTCCTTTAAAATGGTATTTAAAATGACGATAAAAGATGATTATTTTGAAGTGCTAACAATGCCTTTGAAATGTTTGGTCTCTCGTCTCTTGCATTAAGCTAGATAACTCATTAGATTTAATATATCTTGAAGCCAGAAATGGACGTCAGTTTTTAAGAAAGGGATATGTTTAATTCATGATTAATCTTCAACTTCAACAATATTTGAAAGTCGCCATCTGTTCCTACTTCAACATGTCTCTGAGTCTAATAAATGCAGTCATACGCACCAAACGAGGCCTAAAGAAAATACAACATATATGATAGAGAAACTTCGATTAGAAGAAGAAATTTCATCATATATTAAAAACACAACAGATGTTATATACAAACATAAGATTCTTCTGCTTTGCTCTTCAATTCCTTGATATACTATATCGTTACATCATCCTGCGAATAGTTCATAGCAACAATTCAGGCACTCAATGCAGGCAAGGGCAGTGCAGACTTGTGTGAGAACAATCGCGCACTGGTTGTTCATGTGCGAACAAGTCCTAATGAAACACATGCAACAGACGCGGTCCAGTACTCGGCTGCAGCAGTTGGAAGCCGCGTTCACCAACATTTCTGTGGCATCAGCCGGCTTTTCTTCTTCGCTTCCTGGTGCTTTGTTCTGGACCGTTGCAGTCAAGTTACCAAAGCCAAAACCCAGGTTTCCGAGGATTATCACCTTCTGGTTATTCGACTCTGGCTTCTTCCGCTGAGTAATTTTGTTGTAGACCTACTTGGAAGTTGGAAGCAATTAGATTACTTCTATTATTTATTGCTAAGCAATAAGAGTACTTCAATGCGAGCGTTAACTGGTTATAAACTCAAAAGCATCATCCAGGAACTCAGTTACTTATTTTGAGATTATTAGAGAGAGAATAATGAATTCAAGCTTCATATAATGGCAAACTCCGGTAGGAGGTGGATTTAGATAGGGTGGAATAAAGTAACTTAAATAACTTTATCTTAGAAGGGTAACACGTAATATGCATATCTTCACAGCCTAAACGAATTCATGACAGAACACTTTCTCTGCAGATCACTGACAAGGAACTCAGGAGAACCCTTTATCTACCTAGAAAAGAACAAGGTGGGTATGTCTAGCAAACATCATATAAGAAACACAGGAAGAGCTAAAGATGCATACCTCTTGGATCATAACTGATTCCGGTGCTTTCTTCCCCTCATTAGTCAGCAATAGTATCAAGCAAGTGTACTCAGATGGAACCCCTGTTTGTTTGCTCAATTTAGAAACCTAGAAGCAAAGCAGGTTGAACAATTGTAGTGGATGTCAAAAGAGTACATAAATCCGAACTTCTACCAACAAAATAATTAAGAAAATCTTCATTTTTCTATAAACTCTGAATCATAATTAGCATGAAATTTGAAAATATAGTGAGGGTTATGGTTAGATAAGGTAGAGATAGGGAACAGGTGCAGTTGCAGAAGAGCATCCAGCCAATCTTGCTTATCTATAATTCAATGACAGAAGAATTCATCAAACTCCAACCAAAAAAAGAAAGAAGAAAAAACCTTCTCTTCTAGCTCTTTACTTCCCAATAACCATGCATGAGCTGTAAGCATGTCAATGTGCCTTCTTGCAAGCACCTGTTCCAGAAAAAAACAGGTAAATGAGTCCATTTCTTTGATTTGAAGAGAAAAGAAGGCATAAGTTCATCAATACCAAGAGTCCTTGCATGGAAGTAAAGAGGGCAGGCAGATCATTGCTTACTGTGATTCTACGTAACATTTTCAATTTCTTACCTGATCAAGTGGAATATCCTTAGATCTTTGCACTTTCAAGTCTATTACAAAATTGCTCATATCAGCCAAGGTACCACGAACTTTAATGGAATCGGGAAAGCTTCCCTCGTATCTGCCTGACATGATCAATGGACTTCCAGATGAAAGGTCTGGAATATGAGATGGATACCGCTGCAAGGAGCAACAGAAAAGTACAACATGCCACTATGCAGTTAGAAATTGGAATGGAAACATTGTTAGATGAAAAAGTAGTAATATTTAAAGTCCTCCTAGCAAAATAGACTCTAATATCATTAAACCTCAAGATACAAAATGGGACACAAATTTCAGCCAAAAGCCCAATACTAGCATACCTCAAGTGAATCAAGAGAGTCTAAAGCATCCACGGTTATATTGGCAAGAATCACTGACGATGCACTTGTGAATAACCTTTGCATTTTATAGTCAATTGACTCTGCAACGAAAGAATATATTGAAGTATATAATACTCTATGTTAATAGCTTAATAGCTTAATACATGTAGGAAGAGAGAGAGGGAGAGAGAGAGAGAGAGAGAGAGAGAAAATTCCTTAGTTTGAGACCATCACACAAGATTAGAATCATTAAACACAAGATTAGCATCATTACTAATAAAACACATAATTATCGTATTTTGTATTGACAACTTATTATTTTGGTGAACAATGATGAAATTACAGTTAAAAGAAAGGGGGAAGGAACTGACCTGAATCATAAGCAGCATCATAGTAGCCCTTCCCAATTTGGGCTAGCATTTGCAGAAAGTAATGGTTACAATATAAACCTGTCAAGATATTTCAGGAAAACTAAGTCACAAATTCTAGAAAGGAAGAGTAATACGATCATCAATATTTTAATAGTCGTCAAACTAAATGATCTTGATCCAAAAGAAAAATCCAACAAGTAAAGGAACAATACCCTTACCTATGCCAAGAGTAGATATGCGAGGACAAACTGAACCTGCACTAGCATAACCTTTCATAAAAGTGCAAATCTCCCTCTCATTTTCAACTGCCCCATCAGTTACGAGAAAGATGAAGGGAAGTGAATCAACCGTCTTGGCCAACAATATCATAGCCTAAAACAAATCAGACCACAGGATACAAAATCAGATGCTCTTCAAAGAGTGTGCATGTTGTTGAAATCGATTAGACAGAAATCATTTCGAAATATGCATGAATGCACAGTGGTCACTAGGAGGGCATGTTCAACATTTGGGATACCTCTCTGAGGGGAAGCAAGATATTTGTACCACCATTCGCATTAAGATTGGCATCAACCCAGTTCTTAGCTTTTAGCATTGCCTCATTTGTTGCCAACTCCATTGATGATGAGAATAAGTGAACCCCTTCATTGAAAGCTATTATGTTGAAAGTATCTTCTCGGTTGAGATTAGAAAGTGATGCCAACAGTGCATTCTTTGCATTTTCAAGAGGGTCTCCCAGCATGCTTCGACTCATATCAACAATGAATATAACTTGCCTTTTAAAAACCTATAAATTCAGCAATATAAAGTTAGAATTACCATGGCAAAAGGCCGTAAAAGTCCGTTTAAAAAAAAAAAAAATATTTGGGACATGGAACTGGAAAATTCACCATCTAATACGAATGATTATCCCATTACAACCTCAATGCAACATTATATAAAGTTAGAATGAAATAGGTGTTAGGGCTAAACGAACCCTTCTAATCTGGGTATTCCGGGGCATCAGATAGAAGTAGAACATCTCCCTATCATCAAAATCACGAAGCGTTGGAGATTGCAAGAACACACCACCATACAAGTCATTTGTATGAACCTGTAAATACAGTTTCCATTCAAGATGAAAAAACACATATCATGATCGCTCTGTGACCATCATTTTCTTAAAAAACTTCTCACAAAGTGATGCATATCACAAAATTCATTAATAACACAAGCATTGATTCAAAGCCTTACAGTGTATGAAAAACTAAAGGCCGCACTTGACCATGATTGTACCTCTGCTTCATATGAAAAACTCAATCTACCGCTTTGGCGCCTCACCTCCTACAAAATCATTAGTCAGTAGTCAGTAATCAGTATCACTTCACATACATCCAAGGACTATATGGAACTTACGAAAATGATTTACCTTAAGAGGGTGGCTGGTACTTTTCCATGAAAGGTCTATGTTAGTACCGACATTCACATTCAACAAAATCTTTTCCCGCTTTGAAATTTTCCTCCCAACGGGATTGACATATGCCGGAAAACGAAAAGGTACACTGAGGGAGAAGTGGCCATCATGATACAACAATTTCTGAGACCATCTGATCTTGAACGAAAGTAATGAGCCTCCATCAACCTGTGGGACTTTCAAAGTGTATGCCTGGCGTTTCAGAAAGTAACCATCTTGGCCTACTTTCTCCACATTTCTTGGGTCCTCCGCCGCGATCAGCTGAGTCCGATATGATCTTCCGGCGGCTTCAGACTCAACACCTAGAAGTGAACCCTGTTAGCCAAATCATGTTTTTTTCTTGAGAATTTATTAAAAATATAGCCTATAAAACTTCATATTACAAATAATTAGGTAACAAAATATTAAAATATATATATATATTATTTAAGTCCTTCCATTTCCAATTTCAACCCTTCAGTTAACTTAATTCACATTAATCACTAATACAAATTTCTTTTCTTTTTTTTTACTGGATCAGAAAAAATAAGCAAATTACATTAACTTAATCTAGATTAATTAGTAGCACAAATTTCTTCCCTTATTTTTTATTGAATAAAAAAAATACACAAATTTCAAAAGATTAAAAGCTTCCCATGCTCCACATAAGTCAGAAGTCCCACTACCTGCTCGCCCATCGGCACGGCCACGCGACACTCGCACCTTTTCGCGGCGGAAACACAATGAACGCGCCACGTGCCGCTCACGGTAACAAACGCGGTATCCAGGT